TATATTTTAGCTTACAATACAATGCAATTTATATAAAAATATTTTATATGATGTAGTCTTTTCTTTCCAGCCAGCATGTTTCATCTTGTCTCTGTTAAAAATATAGGATTTACATTCAATAATGTATTATTTGACTTAGATGTCTTAAGCTTTAATGTCTTAAATCTGTTTTAAAGATTGCAAATCTTTTCTAGAAATACTGTTTTACTTAAAAGCATACAACTACATTAATATTTTTTCATATCCAGCATCTATTGGGGTTCTCATTTGTTGGTTTCATCACCATTATATAACTGTATTGGAAATATTATATACAATATTTAGCTTTTCAGTATTTCAATTTTCTTTAGTATAGCAAGATGTCATGTTTCATTATTCTAATAGTTTGTTAATTTCCTTTTTATTGCCCACTTAACCATCCCACAATTAAATATTTTTATTCTTCACAGCAACATTCACTTGTAATCTAAGGATTGGATAGAGAAACAAGATTGAAGTAAATGAAGTTGGATCTTCTGAAAATGAAAGAAGCTGCTTTAATTTATCTTGACAAGAGTGGTGGTCTTCAGAAATTTGTTAATGACTGCAAATCATATTGTAATGGTATTTACCTAAAATTATTATTAAGTAATGAGAATTATTTAGCTTAAAACAGTAAATAGGAAATTTTAACATTTATTCATATCTGGCCTTACAGAATCTAGTCAAGCTTGTGCTGTTTTCCGGTTTCTTATATTGGTAAACCCATCTGATATTACTGAGTTGGATGCTACCCTTGGAAATTATATTTTGCATCAACCTGTGAAGGGTACTCAGATTTTTCAGTCAGTAAGGAATCTTTTACATTTTGATCAAATATTCTATGAGTATTCTGAACAATAATTTTCTTATAAATTGAACTGAGTTTTGAATTACAGGTATGTTTTACTGCAGTTAAAACGTTGTCATTAATTCAACAAATAGAGACCGAAGCTCAGGTGAGTTTTCACCATTATTTCAGTCCTATTTTTTCTAAAATAGTGGCAATAGTTTGTATTTTAATTACATTATGCTAGTATATGACCAAAATAAATATTTGTTTTTGTTTTAATTACCTAGCTTTCTACCCTCCTATTTATTTTTTCTTATTCTTATTTCTTTTGCTGAAATATAATTCTTAAGGCAAAATGCATTTATTGTGAATTTATTTATGGTAATATTAGATACAGAAAAAAAAAGAGAATTCATCCACATGCCTACAAACTTTGATTCACACAGTCTTGCTATGTAGTAACTTTTAACATTAATGGCAAAAGTAGCTTTCTATGTATCATCATCAGTCTTGTTCCCAGTCTATGATCAATACTGAAATACTGGATGTAATGGATATTTTGCCTGCAAGTATATTTGTTTATATCTCAGAAATAAAATTACTAAAAAAAGATGTGGAACTAAACTGATCTGTAGAAGATTTTAAAGTTTATACAAATAACCTACATTTTATTTAATGTAAGTCAACTAAAATACTTAACTAGATGGGGCACTGTGGTAGATGACATGGGATTCATCTTGTTTTGCTGAAAAAAATGTGCTTGCATTAAAAAAAGTTGGCATATAAAAATATACAGGATAATTTGACTTTTATGCTTGTGGGTGAATTTTTTTAAAGAAATTTTATTTCGGTTTTCAAGAAAGCAAAGAAAAATAAAATATCTTTTTTTAGTGAACAGCTTGGTTCCAGGTTTTCAAATCTCCATATGGATATAATCTCAGTTACATATTCGTCTTTTATCTTTCACATTCAGTTTCATGTCTTATCACTACTTTAAATATTCTTTATTATTTTTTCCCCTCAAATACTTCCCACAGGCTTATTTTATAACTCTCTCATTCATATCTAAATCTATTACATATCCTTTTCAAGGTTTTCATATTTTCAAAATAATTATACTTATACTTTTATCTGTCCTGTGTACAATTTCAATCCATATCCACATTTCAAATATTACAAAACAAGGTTTCCCCTATGGTTGCCAATTAAAGTGTGTCACCTTCATGTAGTTGATTCCCTTTTACATCCCATTAAAAATTCTACTTCTAAATTATCCCATTAAACAATTGTAATTCCCATCCCCTAATAGCTATATTATAACATAAATCCCTTTTTCATCAGATTCTGCACGGTACTTGCCCTTTAAATTACCTCTAAACAATTTTAAGTTTAAAAAAAAAATTAAAAAAAAAGAATAAAAAGGAAGAAGATAATTAATCAGTTCAATTCATCCTTAAAAGAAGGAAAAACTGGTATTTCCCTTACAACCGATCTCATAGTTCATTTCAATCATATTTTATAAATCCTTAATATGCATTAATATAATTCAATTGTATTTTACATATTTTTGTTTTTTATTTGATCTGTTATCAAGCATTCCATTAAGTAACAATCCCCATTTCATCTTCCATTTTAATTACATATATTTTCCTGTTTTCTACATAATTTCTTATTTCTAACATATTTATACAATCCTTTATCACCATGCAGAATCCTCTATTTGAGTTGTATTTTCAACCATTATCTCTCTGTCTATCAATCAAATTATTCCCTTTAATTCTTGTTCATTTCCCATATTTGTTTATTTCCTGATTGTTTTTTATAACTTCTTTTCCTTTATTTTCTCCCTTTTTCTACTCCAGTTTTTGTCCCCCTCCCTCTTTAATGCTTCCTTTTGTAATCCTCCCTTCTGCTCTTTCCTTATATTTTGTTTATTTCTCACAGTGTTTCTTTTTCTGATTACCTCTTCTAATCTCCAATTTTTAAGTTCCTTTTCCCCCTTTTTGAGTTTCAAATCTCGTCTCATTTTTTTTTTATTAAAGATGGCCTCTCCTTTATTCAAGTCTTCTTCTTCCTCTGAAGTTTTTCACTGATCCTCATAGTCCAAAGCTGCCATTTCCAGAAACTGCAGAGCAAAGCCAAACAATTTTCCTTGTAGTTACAGTTGTTCCTTCATATTTTTTAATTCCATTTTCAGGTCCAAGTAAAGTTCTGCCATCTTTTAACACTTCCCAGTATTTTAGACAATCAAATTCTATAAGATTGCTTCCCAGAATAAATTTCAATTGTATCCAGTAATAATCCAATGTTTAAAGTTTCCAAAATCATCAATCAATTCCAGAACAGTTTTTTCTTGCTTTTTTCTTTGTTACAAAGTTCCAAGCTCCACTTTCACTTTCCAGGGGCTTTTTTTGATTGTAGCAAAATTTCATTTACTTCGTTACTCTTTAAATCTTTTAAAAGTTCACATTAATTTCTTTCAGCATCAGGTGGCACTCTTTAGTATGTCCAAGTTCCACCTCTTTTTTCCCTTCCTCCACTTTTTCTTTTTTTCTGGCTTTTAAGTTTAAAAAGCTCCTTGTTTGCCTTTTGACACTATATCAGCTTTAAGTTTGCCTATTTAGTGTCAGGATCATTTTCACTATTTTCCTCTTCTAACTTTTCTCTCAAAATTCAAAGCCACTTCCAGTTGTCAGATCTTCCCCCTCCCCTCTTGTTTGCCACAGCTTTAAAAATCTTTTCCAAATAATTAAGTATTTTAGCTCCAGGGTACCTTGTATTCAGATGTTAATCCTGCTTAGCCCAGTCACCCAAGCTGTCCTCCTTCTCCACTCCTGCACAATTCTTGTCCGGTCAGATCTTCCTCTTTGTGATGGCCATTTTGGCCACCGCTGCATCCGCCTTCGGAGAGGAGTTTTATGCCTCACCGAGGAGGGTGAATGCAGCTCCCCTCAACTCAGCTGGCATTCCAGCCTTTCTCCGCCACCTCTACAGGGTGGCTTCAGCCTCAAATCAGGTAGATTGGGGCCCTCCAGTGGCGAGCAGACTGAAACTACGGACTACCACAGATTTCGGTCTGTCACTGAGAGAGTCTAACCGGAAGCTCCGCTTGTGGGTGAATTTTATATTCAGTTAAAATTTGGAAATAGAATGGTTTGATCAGTTAATATTTTAAAACATTACCCTTTTTGCAAATGTCTTGTTAAATGTCTCTTGTGTTATGTAGATATAATCTTTCTGTGTTTGTGTTTCTGATTAATTTTGGGGAAAACAGACTTTATATTGTATAGTCTCATCTGCTCAGAATTCATGCCACTCTGCTAGACTTCTTGGGCATGTCTAATTGGCCATGGCTGGGAGTAGTGCAGTTATTTTATTATTTTCCTCCATTTTTATGTGAATTTGGCCACATCCATGCTTTAATTAATTAGCCTTGGCAATCCACACAACCTAAATGTGTTTCTTCTTTCAAAAAGCATTACTTACCCCTGCTTTCTTCTTGGAATAATAACAATATTTAAATAACTGTGCTATTTGTAATCAACTCAATCATTTTTAATTCTCTCTTTTAGATGAACATAGTCCTGAAACTAACACATTTACCTTCCTTGCCCTGTTACATTCTCAGTCTTTGCAAATTTCCATTTGATTATACTACTCAGAGGTTTTATGTGGCAGAGGGAATAGTGATTGCAATGAGTATCATAACGAAGTATACACAGGGAGCAAAATTTGTTTGTTCTGAAGAGACATGTCAGTTTTCTGAAGGTATGTTAGCAAGCTTGAACTCAAATTCTTTCATTTTTAAGCCCAACTATAAAGCCTATAACTTTGTTTTGGATACTATATTTCATTGCCCATGATTCATATGTTAATCAAGGTTATTTTCCTACAGCATATAATAGACAGCAGGAGGAAGCAGAAAAAATTATTTTCTTCAATATTCATCCTAACACAATTCCCCTTATTTAAAATAGATTCCAAATAAGTTAAACTGTTACAAATTTTAACAAGTTCAGAATTATTTCTTATATCAAACAATCAGAACCAAGATGTTTTAAAAAGCTGCATGCATTTTGGGAAAAATGTTTAACTATGACATCAAAACATGTCTGTATTTCTACTGCATTGACCCACAATGTAAAGTTCAATTAATTGTGTAGTTACAACTGTCCCCTGAAATAAACTTATTTTTGAAAGTTGAAAAAGTACTTTCTAATTTTGATTGGATTAAAAAGTTGGAGCAGTGCTTGTTGTCCAATTTATGTGGTCCTAATTTCTCATAGGGGGTGTCAATCACCTTTATGCTTATATAAAAAAAGGTATATACACCTTTATAAATAATTTCTGAATTACTGGGGAATGGCAAGGAATGGGATAGTAATTCCAATATAGTGCTGGCAATGAAAGTAATTGGGTGTCTCGATTTGCAATTCTTGTATATGCATTTATCCATATGTCTCTCAGTAAAACTTTGGGCAAAGTAGGCACCCTAATAGCAGTCAGGTGTTGTTGAACTACACTTCCCAGGATACTTCATTTTTGGCCATGCTTCTTAGGGATGCTGGTAATTATAATTCAGTAATGTCTAGAATGTCACAGATTGATTCCTCTATCAATTGTATTGAGCATATCATTTTGTATATGACTTACATAATTCATTATACTGGGTTAGGTGTATTCTAGTGAATTCCACATATAAAGTTTAAAAATTATAAAGTGCTTCCTGTTTCTACTAATCTAATTTTGGTGGAGCACAAAACACATATTGTAGCCAAATGAGGCAACCGTATAAAGATACTATAATAGGGAACTATCTGGCTAGGGTTATAAAGTATATAAAAGGGATATTTTCAGCATGGTATGGAAATATTTTGTTAAAGTGCATAGATTTTGAGCAGTTTTCTGATAAAATATATGAAAAATATTACCTGCTTCTGAATTTTTAGAAAACTGAATTCAATCTTTTATCTGTTTCTAGGGTTTCAGTACATAAGAGTACATACTGCTGGAGCTACAGAATCTGCAACGCTAAGAAATGATTTTGTATGCAGCTTATGTATGTCACCACTGAAAGAAGACAAGAAATATCGAGTACTTGGTGGTAAAAACTAAATAGCTCTGTTACCTGATACATTAAAGGGCTCCATAGTACCGGTATATAAGGGGGATAGACAACATAGAGAAAAAGGAGGGCACACAGATGTGAACTAGGTTTAGAAAAGTACATGAATGGCAAAATAAATCATTGATTAAACTTTTTAAGGACCAATTCAGCAAATATTTATCTGAAACAAAAATTGTGTATTTTTATGTTTTATATATATATTTATTTATTTATTTATTTTTAAGATAAACAAGTGGTTGAAATGATTGACTCTAAAGCAGTTAGTGTGTTTCAGGGATTTTCTGGAAGTAAAACACATTTAAGATTTCAATCATTTACAGTGTTTCTAAGAGGTAAGACACATGGTTATTTGTTGGCTTTAAGCATTTGCATTGCTTTTCAGGGCAAAGCCTTCTCAAAATATCCAGTCGAAAATACATACATGCATAACAGGAATATTAGATTTCCAAATATTTTACAAGCATATCAATTTATAATGCATCCAGTCCAAACACCCAAAGATTATCCTCTTTTTTTCTATCCATCTGTGCTATACTTATGCTCCTAAGTATGTCCCAACTCCTACACTTCCCACCCAGTCAACTCTTTCTTTGAATGAACTGATTTGAAATTCTGCTGTTATGATGGAAAGACTATAGCATCTTGGCATCATTCCCTTTCAGAAATTTTTTTTTTAGACTATCCTTATTCTTTTCCAGAATTCTTCACATTTGCATGATAGGGTACAATTCACAGGTCAGAAATCTGAATTTAAATCCAAGAACTTCTTTTCAACATTTGGTTTCAACATTTTCAATAAGGTTATTTGTTAAATTCTTGGGAAAGTTACTTCCTGCATCAATTATAATTATGTACTTTAAAATTATTTGATTAGAATGGGGAAAGACATTCTACTTTCTTAGTGTATTTGTCTTGGAAATAAAATATAAATGTTATGACGTGATTATTTTAGATTTAATTTTTGTATCAGACATTAATGAAGAGGAAGTAATAAAAATAAAATCCAAGACTTCAATTAAATAAAGACAGCTACTTTAACTATTGCAGCTGTATCTTGTCTTGCTGAAATTTGACTTCTCTTTTCCATTTCTTATGACAAAATTGTTTTATGGTAATCTAATATATTTTAATATTCTTTCTTAATTTAGCTGTTTCTCCTTGCTATTTTTTGTTTTCATGATCCAGTTGCATATGTTTTTCTTAACAAAATTTAATCCCCGATTTAACTATATATTTCTCTAATTATACAATCTCCCCTTAGCTAAATAATACAAACAAAACATTTAATTCCTGATCAGTGGTTGTGTTATTTATCTAAGAAGCAGGTTGTTCACAAACTTTAAAAAAAAATAATGTGAAAAGGATTATTTGTAAGCACACTACTAAACTGTCACATTACTTACCATAGTAAAAGTGTATGTTGCACAAAGCTGGAAAAAAGGCAATTTAATATTCTTGGCAGAATTTGTGATTAAATCACATCTGTTTTGACCTGTTTTAATAATGTCTTCTATTAATTTCAAGGCCAAAAGCTTTAGCAAAAATCTTCTTCTCCTCTCTACCCTAGCTTGGATAAGCCGCCAAGTTTAGAGCGGTAAATATTGAGCTATGACTCTCAATTACCTTGACAGAGTACTTTTTCTTGGCTGTTATTGTGTAGTTTCTGCTGTTGAATTGGCAGAAAAGGTAACATAAATTATACTGCCCCAACTGAATTTTAACTGTGCTTTAGCAATGATACCAAAATATGGTGTTGTGCTTGGAGAGTTCCTGCAGAAAAATCTCAGCACAGCAACGGATGTATTCTTGTGCTTTCTTTCCCATCCCAGTTACCAATTACTTTTTGTAACATATAACAGAGCAGGGGTGGGAGACTAACAACATATAGGCATTTTCTTGGGCTGCAAGAAAAATGGATAATTAGCTTCTGCAGAATACATCTGTAAGCCAGATTTTTCTGGAGGATGGGGGAATGGTACCATCTGCTGGCAGACCAAGTGTTGTACACAAACTGTACACACACAAACTGAATCTGTCAGTTGGAAAGGTATGAGGGTTGGGATTATAGAACAATGGAATAAATCAGTTATGGGAGATGAGTTGTCCTAAAATCCAGTTGATAGGACTATTATACGCAAGATATAGGAACTCTGCAGCACAAGCCAAACTGAATGTAGAAGTCTATGCTTGGTGAGAGGCCAGGAGACTGACAGTCCTATTTTAAAAAAATTAGATGTTACCATATTACAGTAATTGTTAGCATTCCAAGATATCAATATTCCTATTCAAAACAAATAAAAAGAATCATTGAAGTCACATGTCTACTGTCTCATTAATCAAGCCAAAATGCTATATAAGTCAGTACCTAATTACTAGATGGAGGGACGAGTGTTCAAAAAAATGGTCAAAAAGAACTCACTAGAGTCTTGTCCTGAACTCATTATTGCCACCCTCATCAAGACTTGAAATATATCTATCAGTATTCAACCCAATAGAAAATCCTTACCTGCCTATTTGTATTTTTCCCAGATGAATTATCCAATGAAATGAAAATGGGAAATCAATATAAAATTATAGGAATTCCAATCTGTATGCAAAGCTACTTACAAGCCACAATTTGTCTTGAAGCTAACAGCGTATATCCTTCTAATTCTACAGGTAGGACAATAGGCCAGTGAAAATAGACAACAAAATATACTTGTTCCGATAATAGGAGACTGAAATGCAACTGTCTCTTTCTTTTCATCCCAATCTTCTTCTACTTAAGCAGTTTTCAAATGTGATCTAGGGATTTCTGAAGGTCCCTGGATCCGTTTCAGGGGGAACATAAAACACACCCACCCAACACCCATATATGTAAAATATTAAAGTGTCTATTTTAATTAATATAGTAAATACTGATAGGTATAACTGATAGGTGGTATTTGGGGTTTATAAACATTTTTAAGACAGGTACTGAAAAGAAAATGGGAATCACTGTTTAATATATTTCTTGTGGGGGAAAAAAGTATTAATTTTCAGCACATTCAATCTCTATATAAGAGAGATTGGGAGAGTAATTCCTGGTGAGCTCAGGAGCCAAAAGTTCCTGAGAAAAAATAACAATGTAGAGAAAGAAGGCCAAGTATGACTTCTAGAATTCTTTTAATCTCTTTAGTAATAACTCTCCTCTGGGTCAGCTAAGTGACATTGATTTCATGGCACATCATCCATCCATCCTGGATCATGTAGGCAGCAGGAGAGAAGGGCTATGCAATGGGAACAGTTGGCAACATTCTGAGACATTGCTCAACTGCCCTTCCAGTAGCGATGCATTGGGATTTTTTACTCTGCACACCCAGAGCGGAATGGGACAACTTGTCACAGCCAACTTGCTGCAGCCAACTCACCATAGCCAACTTGACGCGGGACAACTCACCTTGGGACAATTTAACAATTCAATTTAATTATTTAAAATAAATATTTTAATTTTTGTCATTCACATTTCATTTTCTCCACCTTTTGCATCCTTTAATGATTCTATTACACCATTTCTTCGATCTTAGTGTAATTCTTGTTCTTTGGCGAGTTGGTCACAGCAAATTGTCAGACCCCAGTCCCCCACAGTCTGATCTATTTTTAAACTTGGCTTTTTCTTTTGTCAGCTTTTTGCCTACACAAAATTTGATCCCATTCTGTTCAGTTTACTTGTTGCAAAATTAATTTTCATTGGATTGGAAAGAATAAAATAACTAAAAAACATTAATATTGATCTCTTCTTGTTTTGTACTGGAAGAGATATTGTTAACATGAATTTTAATTTTAGAACCAAGTATCCCTATTCCTATCTTCAAAAACAAATAGACAATTATACTGAAATCTTTTTCTGCTCTAATTTTGTTGTCAGCTAATTAATATTCATCTTGTATTCTCTGAAATTGAAATCTCTCAGGTCCACTCCTGTTTTCTTACTAGAATTCATCTCCCTTTTGTGAACTAGAATTTTGGAACCTAATATTCCTTTAGTGCTATTTGCTCATATTGTTTCCTGATGTACTCATAATGAATTGAATTCAGTTGTGTTCTGCTGGTAGCAGCAGTTTCACTTATATCTTACCTTTACCAACATCTGAATTTCAACCTTATAGATGTTAAGGTTTCTATTTTTTTTTTTTTTTAATCAGGGCCTTCTTGTATCAGTGAAAAATTTCAGTACCTGCTGTCTTTGACTTCAAATTCATGTTGGAAATTTACAGCACTTCTGGCTGATAGCTTTGCTTCAAAAGTTCTTCCATCTGGCATTTATAATATTTTGAAATTGTCCATAATGTTGAGCTTAGTACAGACTATTGATGGAGATGACAAAACAGCAGACTACTTAGATCTTCTGGTAATAACAAATGATTCTCTTACACTGGAGAGGTAATTATTTTTTTCTTATGGAGAGGTTATTAGCTTTCCCTAGTAGCGCTCCCTCTCTCACACACACCTGTGCTGTTTTATTGTATCATCAATAACTGATGTTGCTATAATCTGAATTATGCATATAACCCCCTTTTCTATATATAGATTTATTCAACTGAAATTCATTGCCAAATATCTTTATATTTACATTTATTTATCAGAAATACTACAAATTCATTAGTGAATTATCTATTTTCCCCAATCATCTAGAATTATGAATTATAGTATATGTCTTGTGCCTCGAGGCGTTCGGCACTTTCCATCTGGTGAAATTTTTCCAATTGTATCAAAAGATAAACATGGGACTGGAAGTGCTATTATTCAGGCTGGTAGTGCTTTAATGGCTAAAAATGGAATATGCTTTATTGGAGAGCTAACTTCATATAAGAAAGAGAAACTTGAACAACTACAAGCAGGTATGGCAATTAGCAACTATTTGTAAGACCAAGGGTAACTTTAAATATTTTTGCTAGATTGCCTTACAGCTTTGAAATCCCAGAGAAATTATTTTAATCACTAGAGATATTTCTATACCAGTCAATTTTAGTACTGTGCAATCAATATTTTTCTATTACAAAGCTGTATGTAAAATTTCCTATATAATGCTGTATGTTCATTCCACTATATACTGGTTGAGTTGCAAGAATGGACATACACATAAATCTTCACAGAGCTAAGAATGCCTCCTTGCAGGACTCTTAAAAATATGGCAATCTGGTACCTGACATCTTCAGATACTAGGATGCCTGTGTATCCTGGAAGCGATATTGGCAATGCCCTATATAAAACATGCAAAACATCTCAAACTCGTCACCGAAAACTCACAATCTAATTTTGGTGAGATTTCAGACTTGAGAACATGTCTGGGTTTTCATGTTGGATTATGATAGCACTTAAAACTGCTACTGCATGTCTGGTTGACAAAATCACCAGGTTATGAGGCAGAGTTCTTTCACATTATTTGTTTTTATTTTAAATTTTCTTGTATGACGGGTACAGGCATATTGTGATTTTTGTATTGTGCTATATCCTAATTTGAGATTATTGGAAAATGAAATACATTGGTGTAAGAGAAAAATGTCATGCTCCATTGCCTGGTACATAAATATAAATATAAAACTACACATATAATAGTTCAAAATGGAGCCTAAACTAATCTTGTTTTCTCTAGATTCTGGCAGTCCCAGCAGACCTGGGCTATGATGATTTTCATTTGTAGAGATTGCTATTTTCGCTACCAAAATAATTCCATGAATATCTGTTGAATTATCAGAAACAGAATGGGAAATACCTAATTTCTTTAACAGAAGCCCTCCATTCAATGCTGGTTCGTTTAGTAAATAGAATGAATTTTTCTATTCATCAAGTCTGGATCCAATCCATGTAACCCTTTTGGGTGATACTTTTGAGAGGAGCATTATAGAAAGAACCTTTCTAAAATTGGGAAATATGAAATTCATATCCAAGTACCTTTAAAAGCAATGATTTAACACATAGGGTAAAGTAAGTTATATAAACCACCATATTTTAAGCAGCATTTTTCTTCTTGCTGTTTTGATTAGTACTAGAGAGCAGAACAATTACTAAATTCATTCCAGGAAAGAAATATGGAGAAACTATTGATCAGAAAGTTATTTTTCCAGTTCAAACAAGTTTCTGGTCATTTATTGATGTGGATTCATCTTCAAAAAAGCATATACAACTGGATAATACTGTAATTGGCCAGTTGGTGAGTCTATACTTAAAACAGTAATTTTACAATATTGATTAAGAACAGTAATACCTAAGCACTATAGATAAAATGCCAATTTAGCATCATGCATTTTCTAAAACGTGTTAATTTTTCCCCAGTCAAGAAACATTTTCATCATTCTATAACACCTGGTATCACCCAAATACTATAAACAAATTAAATAAAAAACCATGTTATATAACAGCATAAATAATATTCAAGAAATTATTGCCATAACAAATATAAGTGCATCAAGTAATATTCTGAAAGTTCCTTTCTGAAAAACATTAAATCTTGCATTTTTAGAATCTTTATTTTTAAATATTTTTAAAATGTTAAAGTTTTATTCTAAATTACTTTTTTCAAATTAGGACTTAAGCTTGATTTCAGCTCCTCTTATAGATGCATTTGGACTTTTGATATACTGCAATGAAGCATCATGTTGTCAGTCTCCATTTCCTGTTACAAATTTCATTTTTAAAAAATCTATTAATTCAGAAGAGATTTATTCTATCACTCAACAGTTCCAAACCCAAGATTATGAGGAAGTAAGTAGAAATTATACTGTTAGAAATTATAACAAAAAAGAAACAACTTTTTAATTAAAACATTTTATTAAAATATTAATATTTATTAATTATGCATTAAATATGAGCATTTTTCATAAAACATAACTTATACTGTCATTTCAGTTTCTTGCTTTTTCAAAGAATCTGCATGTAGAATTATGTCCAGAATCAGAAAGGTTAATTCATGGCTACTATCTAGCAAGTCGAAGAGTCAGAACACAGCTCATGAATGGACCTAATCTCTCAGCAACTTCACTAAAAATCTTGTAAGTTGATACCTGCTAATTAAATATTGGGCATTTTGGCTTTAAGTTGGACTAAGATGAAATGGAGATGCACTAACTAGCAACTCCTGATCTCATTAAACATGTATCCACAAATGTGCTTCAGGTTGCATAGAAATGTTTATGCTTTCTCTATCCAGATATTAGTCCAAACATCAAAGCAGTGCTGTTTAGAACATACATCAAAGGTGTGTCTAGTTTGTACAACTGTGTTGTCCCATGCACTAGTCAAAGGAAGATTTGTCCACTTCTGAGGATACACATATTCAATGTCTTCTCAGATAGCATTGTTAGCTGTTCAGATTCTGCTCAGCAGGTTTTCAAGTCCAAGCAAATGAGCTGTTTTCACTGCAAGACATTCTGCTAGTGATCCGAGTAGACCCCTGGATTTTTCCTATCCATAATTTTCTAATAGGATCAAGGTTTCCATAAAGTGCCACTAGACATTCATATTAATCCTTATTTATCAGTTTATTTGTTCAGCAATTGGTTTTGTGTGTGTGAATGAAATAGTGGCTATACATATATATTATGTACATGTTGGAATCAAAAGCAGGATTTTCAATGATAAAATCAGTCATCTGAAATGTTGTACAATGGATTTAAAAGTTTTATTTTTGTTTGTAGGATTTCGCTGTCTAAAGCACATGCCAAGCTGAGTCTAAGGACAAAAGTACTTGAACAAGATGTTTTAATTGCAGTATTATTATTTGAATCATCTCTTACTTTAAAATATGGTAAAAAGCCAAGCAATTGCTCATAAGTCCAAATAAGATCACATTAAGATGTTTAACAGGAGACTTTATACACATAGTTGAACACACAAGACCAAAGATGCCAAATAGCAGGCAGTACTACTCATGAGATTTCTTTTCTCTTTCCTCTTATCAATAGGCTGAAATAACGTTATTGAAAAGTAACAGTAGGAGATATTTTACTATTTGCCTTCTAGTAGCACATGTTTCAATTTTCAGAATTGATTCAACATAGCTTGTTACGTATGGGGTATTTTTGGAGGGGTTGGTTTGGAAAATTTAAGACTGTTCTGCTACTGCTGAACTATTAACAATCTTTCTGATTCAACTTTATGAAACCTGTAATACTTCAGCATCTGAATAGCTATTGAGCCCCTATTTTCTTGAGGTAGAAAATAAATGTTTATATTATTCTTAAGTATAGTTATATAAGTAATAGCTTTCAAAATTAACGACATAGGAAATTGAGCAAATGCAAAAATTTGAATCATCAGGCATTAAGGTAACTTTTATTCAGTAGTTATAATAAATTTCTTTTCCAGGTACTATGTAATCCATATTGCAGCTTTTTAAATAAGGTTTCTTTAAGGCATGATTTGGAACTTTTTTTCTGATGAAAAACATTCCCTGGGGGATAATCCAAAACCAAGAGGGGATGTCACCACTGTTCTCTCCCTGGTATCTTCTCTTCCAAGCAACAGATTGCAGATCAGATTTCTTGGGACCTTATTAGCAGTCTGAATTGCTCTATTACGTAGAGAGATTGATATTAGGGTGGAGAACGTATGTAATTTTAAATATAAATGGAAAGGCATTTTTCCAAAAGGCTAATTTTTAATTATATTTCATATATGAAAGAATATTGAACTCTAGTAACTTTTCAAGTAACAAATTTATAATTTGCTTTGACAATTTATGCTCAAAAACAAATTCCTAGACAAGCTTGCGATTTTAAAATTTTAATTAATTTAAAGATTAATTCATTTTCTTTACACAGGTGCTTCTGTATTTTGTGTGGCTCCTAATGCACTTTTTCCATTTGAACTCAATTCTGAGAACTCCCTGAATCAAAGGGATATTTACTTGATGGAGTGCCACCAGCAACTGAAACAGTTTGTTGCTACATATGGGCCTGTGACACATGTTCTCAGCAGTGAGATTTAGCAATACACAAAACCGAATCCAATTCTCAGGAAAATTAATTCATTCATCTAGCCTAACTTTGACCTTTCAAGTTATGTTACAGAATACATTCATGCTGTAATGACTCAATTAATGCTGTAATGTTTCAAATATAACCTTTTTTTAAAAAAAATCTTGCATTTCAGTTTGTTAACATTCTATTCTTACAGTGCAGTACAGTAGTTTCCCCCCCTATCTCTCATTAGATTTTTCTTATTCTGAATGTTATAACAAGCATAGGAAAATAGATACATTTATTTTAGTTGTTACTGAAATTGCATTCAAATTCCTCACATTGGATTTTATTCTCACCCCCAAAAAATCAGAATCGCGTTCCATAATATAAAACAAGAAATGAAATTTAATGGAATTCAAAAATATACAGGCTGGTATTCAATCTCCCACATGGTATAAATAAATGGCAATTCATCGGTAAAGACTTTGATTTGATCCAATGCTCACAAAGGCGTACAATAACATTAAAAACAAAGATATACATATACACAAGTCAACCATGGTTGTGAGATTGGATTTTACAAAGATGTAGGAAAACAGTTTATCTATCATGGCAGGTCTGCTTTCCTCGCCTAATCTTCATGCAGAAACAAGAAAACAAGCTAACTGAAAAAAAGTCACTCTTTCCCGGAAATCTGATAAACAAATATGATGAAAAATATCCTTAGGAAAATGCTGAAGTGTTATTTTGTCCTATATAGATTTTTTAATTTAGAACTACATCATCAGACTAAAGTATTTGTTTAAAACTAATTTCATATTGGTAAACAATCGCTCTTCCATTTGTCTTGTCCTGCAAAGAAATAGGGAGATTAGTGTATCACATTAAACAGCAGCAAATTGCATTTATATTAAGGTAACATATTAAATAAAAATAGTTCATTCAAAGTTTCATTTTTGTTTTCAAATCAGTAAATCTTTAGAATTTTCAATACAGATCTCAAATGACACGAATGCTTTCATTAAACTAAAATTAAAAAAACACATTTAAGTTCAATTTTGTAATAAAAATATTTTGAATACATAATTTCAATCATTTTGATGACCATCATTTAGCATTCAAGATGCAATAACTCTAGTCATCTAAATAGTTAATTCAATTTAACTTTTAATCAGATTTGCATTTTTTACAAAAATACCCACCCAAATTCTTACATTCATGTGAAATTTGCAATCATTTCAAACTGATAAGTAGTGTTTAAATATAGAATTCTCAAATTCTGAACAGCAGTTCATGACTACTTGGGGAAATATACTAATTAAAGCACTTCAGAAATACATTTTAATATACAGTATTTAAATGTTCTAAGCAAATACTTTACATGGTATAATTAAAGCTTTATTGGCACTTCAGAATTGGAAATACACATCACACATTCAGATGGGTAAACGGCAAAAGGAAATCATCATTGTGCCAGTGATAAAATATATATCCCATTAATAAAAACATGTATTAATTTTTTTCCATTTTAGTACTGATTTGCAAATATTTTTATTTATCTCAAAGGGTAAAAAAATAAACAAGCAAGCATTCATGTAACTTAAATCTTCTAGAAATATTCATCTTTCCAAATGCAGTTTTATTAATCCAAATCACAATTCTTACTCTCTGTATAGTAAGAGCAATACTCACCATTTAATATGGGATCCAGTGAGGCATACTGATTGCTCCCAAAAAGAAAGAAAGAAAGAAATCAAACAATTGGCAATATTTAAATATACTATTTTTAATTTAATACAATAGAAGCATTTAGGATTTTTTAAATTTTGCATTTATGAATAAAGGTATTTTATTGCTTCTAATTGCTTGGTATGCAAGTATGTAGGAGATCTCATTCTACCTTGTTTCCCTGAAAATAAGACCCTGTCTTATAATTTTTGCCACAAAAAGGCGCCAGGTCTTATTTTGGGGGAAAGTCATCCACTAACTAACCTTACTTGCACGTGTCGCCCCCGGCCTCCTTTTCGCTGTCAGAGACCTTCAGGAACTTCTTCTGCAGCCGGCAAGGCTTTCCTGAAGGCCTTTACAGCAGACAACAGAGCTCCAGATCATCCAGAGCTTTGTTATCAGCTAGAGGCCTTCAGGAAAGCCTTGCCAGCCTTGCTGGTTGCCGAAGAAATGGGCTCCGAGGCTTGGCTACAACTGTCCAAAGGTAAGTAGTAGGAAAGCTCCACACACACCCATCCCCACCCCAGCTTAATTTTTACCTGTACACTCTGGAGTGGGCGGCATCTTAATTAAGGCTTATTTTGGAAGTAGGGTTTATATTGGGCACACATGTAAAAAAAAATCAAGCTACGACTTACTTTCAGAGCAAGTTGTATTTTCAGGGAAACAGGGTATCTATACTATCCTTAAAAAACAAACACAAAGCACAGCTAAAACACTGGATCATCTCCTTGAATGTACTTTAAATCTTTTCTTCTCAAAAGAATACATGACATTACTCTCTAAATTTACTATTCCTAGGTTGCCACTTCATAAGGGAATCAATATGTACCTATGGTATCAACTACTATTATTACTGAAATAAAATACAAAAAGAGTACAAAGGTTGGATAGTTACAAAGAGAAACCTAGAATGATAAATGTGTAAAATATGTTTAAGATATCAATATGACAAAAAAAGAAATGGTTTGGCCAATGGACAGGAATATATGATCTGATGAAGCAGCTAATGTCTCTGAAATAGTCATGAGCTGGCTACACTGTACAATGAACTTACTAAAACTTCAACAACCCTCACCTGAATGCCCCAAGACTTTAAAACACCCAAAATGCTCCAAGAGGGTGCTGGCAAATGATATAGCTCAGTTGCAAAGACAATAATTGAAAATAACTTGCA